GGGTTAGGGTTAGGGTTCACAAATGAAAATTAACAGGATAGGGTTAGAGTTTACGAATTATCAAATTAAATGGATAGGGTTAGAGTCGACAAGTTGAAAATTTACAGGATAGGGTTTTGGTTCATGGTTAGGGTTAGGGTTTTGAATTCTTAATTTAATGCATAGGGTTGGGGTTTACGAATTCAATAATTGAATGGCATGGGGTTAAGGTTAGAGGTTAGGGTTCCCTATGAAATTTGAAGGATTGGTTAGAGTTTACGAATTTTTCAATTTAATGTATACTGCTACGGTCGGCAAGTTGAAAATTTACAGGATATGGTTCGGGTTCATGGTTAGCTTGAGGGTATTTGAATTCTTAATTTAATGCATATGGGGGGGTCTACGAATTCAATATTTGAATGGCATGGGGTCAGCGTTAGGGGATAGGGTTCCCTAGTTCAAAAGTAAAAGGATGTGCTTAGGGTTTACGAAATCAAAATTTAATTAAATGGGGGTAGTGTTAGGTTTAGGGGTTAGAGTAAGGGTTCACAAATGAACATTTACAGGAAAAGGTTAGAGTTTACGAATTATCAAATTTAATGGATAGGGTTAGTGTTAGGGTTCACGAATTCAAAATTTGAAGGGTTGGGGTTAGGGTAAGGGCTACCCACTAAAAATCAACGGATATGATTAGGGTTTACGAATTCAATATTTGACGGATACAGAAGTTGGGGTTCACAAGTTGAAAATTTAAAGGATAGAGTTAGGGTTAGGGTTTATGAATTCAAAAATTTAATGGCATGGGGTTAGGGTTAAGGTTAGAGTTAGGGTTCACGAAATCAAAATTCACAGGATAGGGTTAGAGTTTACGAATTATTCAATTTAATGGATAGGGTTAGGGTCAACAAGTTGAAAATTTACAGGATATGGTTTGGGTTCATGGTTAGGGTTAGGGTTTTTGAATTTTTAATTTAATGCATAGGATTGGGGTTTACGAATGCAATAATTGAATGGCATGGGGTTAGCGTTAGGGGTTAGGGTTCCCTAGTTCAAAATTTAAAGAACGTGGTTGGAGTTTACGAAATGTAAAATTTAATTAAATGGGGTTAGGGTTAGGTTAGGTTAGGTTAGGTTAGGTTAGGTTAGGTTAGGTTAGGTTAGGTTAGGTTAGGTTAGGTTAGGTTAGGTTAGGTTAGGTTAGGTTAGGTTAGGTTAGGTTAGGTTAGG